ATTATCAAAATTATATTCACTTTTCAAACTTTTATTTCATATGGCAAAATATACTATTATTTTAATTTCATCAAGTAACAAGAACAAAAAAAGTCATCTAAAATTTCGCAAAAAAACAAGTGAATCAAGAGATTCAGGATTCAGTTGTTGTCGTCGTGCTTCTAGAATTTTTCCTTTTTGCAGCACTCATGTTGACAATATGTAAAATGAAAAAAATCGTCATGCTTGAATTCTTAGGATCTTGAACATATAATTAATAAAACAATATTGTGTGTCAGTTATAAATAAACTTTTGTAACCCTAAATAAAAAAAACGTAAATCAATATTGTAAATCATTCATTTTTAAGTCTTACAATCTTGAACATATAAATTAAAAAATATAAAATCATTTAATAGTTGCAAGTGAATTATTTCGATGTTCAGTTTAAGAAGAAAAACGAAAAAAAATACGTTCTTCGCTGACATAGTTTATTGTCAGTATATAACGCATCGATGAGTCATGGTCGAATCGTTTATAATACGTTTAACTTTTTAACGAATAGCGATCCTAGAGTGTAAAATATTTTTACTTGTTAAGATATCATCGACTACCGGTCGGGTACCGGGTATGCTCAAATCCTGCACCCGACCCGGCATTTTTTTTTATACCCGGCACTCGAACCGACCCGGCAAATTTGTACCCGGACCACAGTTCCGGGTCCGGTCGGGTGCCGGGTATCCGGCCCCGTTGCAGGACTCTAGTCAGAAGAATCTTTGAATATTCTATGGGCTTTTAGCATTTGCTTACAAAATACTTCTAAATATTCAATCTATTAACTTAGCTCAAATTTCGTCCCCAAATAGGCGATGTATTGACTAGAAAAATTCTAAGAGGATATGGGCGAAGATTGTGATTTGCCTGAGATATTGGCATTTTACTGTGATTACCCTGGAGCACTTCACTTGTTCCGGTAAAATCAAAATTTTGACTTCTGACCTGAAACGTTGTCCACATCAAAGCATCAATCGGACTAGCTTGGCTACAAAGTTTTAGTAATTTTGGACAAATTATCTTCGAGATACTAGTATGTTCGCAGAAGGACGTTTTTCTACATAGATTGTATTATGCATGGATATTGTGAAAAAGTAATATTTCAGAGATGATTTGTTCAAAAACTCTGAAACTTTGTAGACAAACTAGTCTGATTGATGTCTTGATGTGGATGCAGTTTCAAGTTAAAAGTCGAAAATTTAATTTTACCGAAAAAGTGAAGTGGCCCAGGATAATTACAGTAAAATGTCAATATCTCAGCCAAATCGGAACTTGAGCTCATATTCTCTTAGGATTTTTTCTAGTTTATACATCGCCTACTTATGGATGAAATTTGAACTCAAAAGCTTTATAGTGCCTAGGAAAGTTTCTTTATAAGATAATTCTTAGCAAGATACTTGAAAAGGTATCCTGTTGACAATTGATATAGTAGATTTGCTGGGAAGAGAACATAGGTGATATCATCATCGTACTACCTGTGAAAGTTCTTCTGGCTCCCCTGCTACTCTAAACATGCTGTTCTTGATGTTAAAAGGTCAACTTTTGTCAAGGTTTATCCTTCTAGATAGTTAATTTATTTAGAATATCTTATGAGAAGATCGGCCTGAAAACAAAACAACATTCTCTTTTTTGTGGTTTTTATATTTTTTTCTCTCGAGAGAACAAAGATTTGTTTTTCAATGATCTTTGCTTTTGTTTTAGAATTATCTATAAAAGAAGTTTCAATGATGTTACAAATTCTAATAGAGAATCGATATTGGAAGAACCAATATTAACATTAGTAAAAGATTTTCTTCCAATATGTGATGAAGATTAAAAATATTTTCAAAGATTTGATTACGTATGAGAACTCGAATTTTTCAATTTCTCTTATTCGACAGCAGAATCCACACCATGAAATAAAAGAAAATCGAATCGAAACAGAAACCTTTAGAACTAAAAATTTGTTTCAATGATAGTTTCTCTAGTGAATGCAGATTGCATGTGTTATATTTTAGTAGATCCTGCTACTATGTCATAGGAACTTTCTTTGTAGTTGAAAGTACTTATCCAGCAAGTGATTACTTGATTTTCAAGTGTTCCTACTTGTTCAGGCTACTCATCATCTATAAAACAAACTATCAGCATAACATCCGAATTAATCAAACACTCATTACGAGTGCTCAGAATTTTGACGAGAACACTCGACTAAATTACCTTGATGTAGCCTGTGTAGACCGATGCCAGATTCGAATTTTTATTGATAACCTCTGATGAAGCAATGACCTTTTAGATATTACAACCCATGTCATTCAAACCACTTGAAAACCGACGGTTCTTCAGCTAAATTTTCTTTCGTGTCACAAAGGATCAATTTTTTTTACTCTTACGAAATTGACAAATTTTGGTCGAAATCACATCCTCTCTATCTCTATATTATCGATGCACCGAACCCCCCTGCACCAGCCATATCATTCATATTTGTATAGTTTTCGAATTTAAGTTTTTATTAAAGATGGCGCCATCTAACAGAATTTACTGTTACATGATTAAATCGTCTTTTTAAAGTTGGAATCAACTTTTTCAAGACTAAAAATATTAATTTAGTAATAAAATAATAAAAAAAGAAGCGATAAATGAAGGAAAACCGAATCCAACCGTTGGTTTTAATTTTAAAAAAAATCGACGACATGGGAATCATTAATGGGCAAATGAAATAATGATTAGAGGAACTCTTCCCTTCCTTGTCCAAGTTTCTGAAAAACAGCTCATCAGAAATATTTGAAACTTTCAATATAGATAAATCTCGATGAGTAGAACAAAAGTTGTCATAGACTCTAACCTCCTAGAAAATATCAAGGTCACACAGGCTAAAAACCGCCTTGCTTTTTGAGCAACAACATACTCGATAGAGCTGGAATGTTTTTTACAGATACAAAATACTGTTTGGGATGTCTACTTCTTTTTATCTCCTTAGATTCGCATAAAAAGATCAAAATACTGAGCGTATCTTCAAAAATACATGTTTTTTTTTTTACGTAAAATTTGCCACAAAACAAAAACAGCAAGCACTCCAAGCAATGTTCAGTACCTACAAAAAAAAAGTTTCAGCTCGATCGAACGTACTATATCGGAGAAACGGGGGCCATTCTGAACATTTATATAAAAATTGATTTCAAATTTTCATATATATATATATAGCATTTGACAGAGAACACTTCGAATCTATATTAACGATGAAAAACCAAAAATTCAAAAAAATTTTGATTTTAACATTCGGAAATGGAAAGGCCTCCTTATACCAGTTATGGATAGTTTGGGTGGATCAGTAGTAGAAAAACACCCATATCCTCATCATCTTCATCGACACGAAAGATTTGATGAACACTATGTATGCTAATTTCTATTGCTACGTAATAATTAAATAAAAGAGAAAAAAAAAGTTGTTCTGATTTATTCGATAGAAATATAAACAAGATAATCTAATGAAATTCATAATAAATGATTTACATAAATAATATGAAGAAACGATAGAATATAATTTTTGGTGCATTTATTTCAGATGAGATTTATTGTTTTTGTTCAAACTATAAGAAAGAAGACAACATAAGTAATTATAATTTTATGTGAAATACTGTTTGATTATTTGAAAACAAAAAAAAAACAACTTTTACAAAAGTTCAATGCTTTATTTTTCTAAAAGAAATGATCAATGAATATTTATTCATATTGGACAAAAAAGAAAAATCTTATTTCGATATTCGTGCATCTATTTATTTCAGATTCTGACTTATCAATGACATGACAAACGACCCGTCAATAGTTGAGTTTTCATCGATTAATTAAGACATAAAATTAATATAAGATCGTTTAGTTTAACAAGCAAATAAAATGTATGTATACGTGTGAAATCTTATGATTTTAATAATTTGGTAGTACTTACTTACCATCAACGCCAAGAAAATCATCTTTACAGAACGAATAAGTGTTCAATTAATTATATTGCATTTGTATGTCGAGTTTTTATTACTATTTGTTTCATTTTTTTTATTATTGTGCAATATCGATTGTAAAGTCGTCAAAAAAAACCGAGAAGCAATTTCATCTCTATGGTATTTCATTATCGATACATCAATAAATCTCAATCGTTTTGACGTTGTTATAAAAACAATTTTTGCTAGTCGTATGATGTTTTGATAGTATACAATATGTTAAAGTAACAAATTATATTCATGATCTCAATTCTGAAGAAACTATTTCAATAAAATTCAAATCAAAGAATTTTTTCTTAATGTCTATGTGAACATATTTAAATAAAATTATTATCTCGTATTTCTTAAATTTGTCCTTTATGTCAAGCTCAAGTATCAGAAGACTCATCTATCTGAAGGCTCAAGTATCGGAAAGACTCGTCTATCAGTATACCTTATCTATTAGATATATCACACTATTCGTTCATTCCTAAAACGAAAATTACAGTTGTAATCATACTCAAGATATAATACGTTTTATTTTCTAGCAAGCGAATATGTCATAAATGCAAGAAAAAAACTTAATACGTATTCCATAGGCATCAAATGATTTTCCTAGATTATATTTATTTACCTTTTGCATGACGAAAATATGCTATTGAAAATATAAATATAAATTTATCATTGATTAATAACATCCAAAATTAGACTATAGTTATACAAATTACTATTAAAACCTATAAATTGAACTATAAATAATTTATACATAGTAAATTTTGCTTTCGGTTTTTGCGCACATAATAAGACATTTGTTTTTTATCAATTGTCCTATAGTAATCTAATATATAGAATATTTCCACAAGGAATAAAATCAATTTAATTAAAAATATGATCATATAGTTAAATAAGAAACAAGTGAAGAGAAAATTTTATGATTTCATGCACAAAATTATTTGCCAAATGACCGATTTCCAGATGTCATATAAGTTTTATTTTGCATAGCATGTATAAACTAACTAACTTATTTCTTGCTTAATGATTTTGACCTTCGACAAGAGAAAAAAAAAATCACGTCAATTAGATTTATGACATTTTTTTTCATTAGGTCTTATTAACATAATTAAACAATGTCAATCTAAAATTAATATAAATATTCGATTAATCGAAATTTTTGATAAAGATTTTGACACATTCTCTAAGGATATAATAAAAACCTTGACAAATAAAACTTATCTTTCGTCAATAAGACTGTAAACATATTTCGATATTGTCTACAATATTTATATCCTAAAGTAAATAAGAAATATTCTATTCAATTAAATAATAATTACAACATATATAAAAAATCAAAGATATAAAATAAATCTACCATGAAAATAATATAGTTTGTTTTTCTTTCTGTTTTGTTTTGTTTTATTTCTATGATTATTATTATTATTTATATTTAGTACTTCTTCATTTTTATATTTAAGTTTCTTATTAAAATTAAGAATAATATTAAGATATTTAAATCTTTTTGGAAATTTTCATTGAATTATTAATACAAAAAACATATATATATATATATATATATGTATATATTTATATTTAAAAAGAGATTTCAATTTTAAATATTAAGATATCTTTAGACAAAATGCAAAGCAGCAAAGAAAAAAAAAACCGATATAAGACTCTTCAAATAGCAAATACACGTATGTCATTAGATAATAAGACTACATATGTTGATCTTAAATATAAAAAGAAAATCCACACATGCATGAAATATAGATAACAAGGCATGAAAATTCTAGAAAAATATCCTTTTTAATTTAATAAATATAAATAATTGAAATGTAATAATAAAATATAATGAATTTTTTTCAATTGAACCTTGATTACACATTTCTTTTGCACACATACAAAATCTTCCAATACTAAAATTTGTACTAGTTGCATGTCGATAACAAACATCTATTTTTGATAAACGATAAAGAAAATAATCATTTAAACAACCACGTCGTATAAATGTATCATTTGTTGATGTACCATCAAAATGAAAAAATTTCACACAATAATCAGCACATTCAACTGTTCGATTAGCATGATGCATTTTAAATGGATCACCACAATAATCATCCACACGTGAATCGCACTGATAACAAACAAATTTTGCCACACTACATGTTTCTTTTGCAACAACGATAAGTAATGTACGTAATTGATGGATTAATATAGATAGATAAACACTAGACAGCTGTTTTAATAGAAAAAAAACCCAAATAGATTACATATAAATATATCCTCGAGATCACAATAAATGAAATACAATCTGATTGTCAATTACATCTTCTTACATTGAAAATTAGCATTCACTGTATGAAAATGTAATATTTAAAATGAAGTATTTCATCTGTTTTGATTATAAGAGTTTATATATATATATATTTAGCATAGATCACATAATTGATACTTACAATCTTCATCGTGTACCATTCGGTAACACGTTCAATCAACGAAGAAAATTATATCTAATTATTACTTTAAATCATAATCATGGAGATAATGAACTGAAAGTGCATCTTCAAAAAAAATAATAATAATAATAAATAAATTTCATATATATATATATATATGTCTATCGTTGAGAAAAAAAAAAGAGTTTCTAACTCAACTAAAAAAACAAAAATTCATAAAGACATAAAATTAACAAATATAAGTGTCTATGGAAAACCTAGATTTCTGTAATATGAATCTAAACATTTTTATGACGATGCCATATATATATAAACATACGTACACCTCATTTGTGCCCAATAATCGATGTATTAGATGTTGCAGCTGTTATCATGGTTCTATCGGCACGAAGTTGATGAGACTATCATCAACATTATCTTTGCTGCTATGCATTTGGTTAAGGCACTATATTCTGTTTACTATTCCCTCTTGTTCTTTTTTTCTTCTTTTCTTTTCTTTTCTTTTTTTATTCGCTTCGTCATCATTGCTACAACAATAAATTGGGGCTAATGTGTTGCGTTCCGCTCTATTCTTTTCTCCTTTTTTTTTTTTATCTACATATCCATCCATCCATCTATATACTATGCGCTATGCTTTGTTAATAGTAAGTATGTTGAGACAAAATAACGCCGAAAGTTTTTGTCTATTCAATTTAGTACTTAGTTATAGTAATGTCGAATGAAGACGAGACCTTATACATAGCGCAAAAAAAAAAACATATAATTTAAATGGTAAGCCCGATATGCCAATCTGACTATTCGATCAATGGAGAATTTCATGTCATGCTAAAACTAACGAATTGTATTTTCTTTCTTTTGATTCTTAATGGATGATAAAAAGAAGTGAAAGTGCTTCCATAGGGAAATTCTTATTATATTTGTTATTTTCTTCGTTCTCGCCATCTTTATTGTTGTCGTTACTATCAATAAATAAAAGAAATCATGTAATGAAGGATATAAAAATACTTGATGATCGATTTATATAACAATACTTTCATCTCGTATGTCTTTCAAGTGACATTTCTTTTGCTTCTATCATCATCACTATAAAAATGACTTGACATTTGATTAAGTACTAATCTCACTTACGTCAATGGTTAGTTAGCAATATTGTAATTAAGATCGTCATGTCGAATAGAATATTTTTTCATTTTTATTATGTTCTATGACTTCTATGTGCTTTTCCTGTTTATTTTTTGTGTTTCTTTCTTTACTCTCTCTCTCTCTCTCTCTTTCTCTGTTTTTACTGATGACTTACCGATGTATGCAGCAATGAGCAAATTACTAAAAGAGTAATTCTCCACGCCAAACTACTCTGTTCATTTTCTTTTTTCTCACTATATTCACCCACGTATACGCTCTCTTTCTCTGTTACCCTTTGTCGACATTTCATTATTATTACTGTTGAAGGCAAGCAAAATCATTTTGTTTCTTGCACAATACTGAAGGAGTGGTAAGCACAAAAAAAAAGAGAAAAATGTAGCGCACTACAGACACTGTTGACACTAGACTGTCGATGCAACCATTATCGTTTGGTTCTTTTTTTCTAGATTGTTAATTTTATTTTTAGTTACATGAAAAAATTATGTAATGAGAAAAGATATATTCATTCATTTGTTGAGAAAAATCTTAAAACAAAATATATTTGAAAACTTTTTTTAGGAAAGAGAGTGAGGATTTATGGTTTGACAGAAGCAAAAACAATGGCCTTAAGACAAAGAAATTAATAAATTTTATGCCATCTGTCATGTATCTAAATAATTGTCTTAGTATGACAAAACCATGTTTTATAATGAAATTGAAAACGTTCATGGTGTTTTACCGTTAGGCACAATGAATGCAAAAGGGCATTTCATCATAACGATTACAATAAAATTTGTCTTGATAGATGAAACAGATTTTATGTACTTATTTCAATATATAAAAATGACATGCAGATTTGACGCTTGATAATTTCTGTTAAGAAATATGAATATTAAATCGATTTCATCAATTTTAAAACAGTCAAAAGTAAATGCTAAATATATATTTTTGAAAAAAAAAAAATTTAATACTAGATTGCTAACTTTGAGCATTTATTAGTCACATTTTTTTTTAACAGTTCAAAAAACTTGGATAAACATCTTAGTTTTTTTTTTGCGTTACTATGCAACGATAGCATGGTCAAGTATTCTCATACTACTTCAATCAAACGGATATTAAAGTCTGTTAAGTGGAACAATCAACATAGTACATAATGCTTATCGAAGTGATGCTCATCAAATCTTTGTTTTCCGGTATGTTTTATGATAATATTAAATTGAACAGGCAACAACTCGTCAATGATAAAAAACAATAAAAAGAATTCTATTCTGAATGACATAAATGATTTATTGTTGTCTAAATTGATTTCGTGACATGTCGATATATCTTTTTGTATTATTCTATTTATAATCAAATTGTCTATTTGCCATGTCCTTACAGTCATACCAATGTCTGTGTTCTATTATTATTATTTTTATTTCATAAACAATTTTAATAAATATATATATATATATAAATTTGATAAATATAAAAAAGAAAATAGAAAAAAAAAAAGACTAAAAATTGACTCTAATATGAGAAAGCAATTATCACATATCTGTATCACTAAATATTAATTAAAACGTATTTTATAAGTAACAATTTCAGCAAATGGAACATTAAGTTTAGATGTAATATTTAATTTTTGTTTTATATGTCGTAATGATAAAGATGTTTGTTCGATTGATTCAATTTGATTTACTTGAAAGAAATATTCAAATATTGGCTAAAGAGAAGAAAAAAAATTGAATATAAAAATACTTTTTTTTTTTTTCTAATTAAATTAGAAAATTATCTAACTTTTTCAAAATGAAATGATCTATCATAATATTCATCACAATCATAAGCAAATCTTCGTAAAATTAATGCAACATTTTTCGATGCACTATATTTCTTATCATCATTATTATTTAATGTACGTAAATTAACTAAATGATAATCACTAGGAAAAAGTAATGGTTTTAAAAATAAATTAAATTCATTTAAAACTATTTTTGAATTTAATGAATGAAATAAATGTATAGGATAAAGAAGTTCAATAGATAAATGATGAGCTAGAAGTGTTGGATAACCTGTTAATGATGTACGATCAGCAATCTAAAGAAAAAACAAAAACAAAAACAAAAATACAAATTTTAATTGTTTGTTTAAAAATAAAAATAAATTCATATACTGTATGACGTGATTCAAATAAAAGTTTAAAAGTACTAATAATTTCACGATTATCCATAATACCTTCACCTAAACCACGACCATCATCACGAGTAAGACGTCGATCAAGAAAAACATCAACAATACCTTAAAACAAAAAAGCATATAAAGATAAATTTTTATTGATAAAATTAAATGCAATAGCGTGTCAACAGATAATTAACATTTATTGAGTTTATAGTTTTTATTCCGGTCTATTAAGAATAACGGTAGTAGTGAAAATATGAAAGATTTCTTTATAATATTTATAATGATGTTTGTTCATTTTCATTTCACATTGTATTTTCAATAGAAGCAAGAAAAAAAAATGTCATAATAAAAATATAATTTAAATTCTTATATAAACTTTTCTAAATAAAAGAAAATAAACAAATACTCATTCTTAATTTAATATAATTTCAAATGAGTTTTTGTTTTTGATATTGAATAATTTATAGACTTTTACATCTTTCGCTATCTTCAATAATCGATTGTTTCATTTTAATAAGCATAATATAATGAAAAAGAAAATATTTACCTGGTTTTAAACATGCTACACCCGATGGTTGACCAGAAAGAATAGTAAATCTCATAAAATTATCTTCAATATAAGCCATTGTTGGCATTGGATAAACATTACCTTGTAAAGGTAATTTACCATAAGTTGTTCTTCGAATCATCTATTAAAAAAAATTTATATTTTAACTTTATTTTTCTCCTATCATCTATTCATAAATTAATACCTGAAAACCATTTAAATCTGTAAAAAATTCTGCTCCATTTTTAATTCCCGTAGAAAATCGTAAAGCTAATTCTGTATCTTTATTCATATTTAAATGAGTTATTGTACTAAGTCCAAGCATATAATCATTTAAACCTAATAAGATAATAAAAGATAAAAATTTTGTTATTCTCGATTAAATAATAAATAGGATATTTAACAAACCATTTGTATTAGTTAATTTATATTGTAAACTATATAGTTCATGATTAATATAAACTCGATTTATTAATGGACCTCGTTGAATACGAATCAAATCATAATTACTCGTAGGAATATTTTGTGCTATCCCATCAGGTATAAATAAATATGCACCACTATGATGATCGGATTGTTTTAATGTTCCATAACGAATTATATTTGTATGAAAACGTAAATTTTCATCGGATTTTTTATGTTGAACATTGAGTAGAACACCATTTTTTGAAAATATAATTGAAAGAAAACGATTATCTATTTGAAATCCTTTTGTATTGATGACATTCATTTTAAAAGGTCTAAATAATAAATATTTTATATTTTAAATTTTTCACGTTTCATTTATGGAAATATGACCAGTAGAAATTTCAAGTTTATGAAGTATATTACAAAAAACTAATTAATTAAAAGATATACACAGACTAAGAATAATTTTTCTCAATTATTGTGACATTTTCCATCTGCATTGACCTATAATTATCAATTACGACAGCCGACAAACGTCGGAGTCTGTCATCTATGCTTTCGTTATCTATAGCTTTGAGTAAAAGATTAGTTTGATGCAAAATTTCTGTGTATGAGTATTGTAATTTTTCATCGATTATTTACAAATCAGACAACTGTGTGAAAAGAAAAACATTTTTTACTAACGTAGATGAAGTTTTAGGTAGTTGTTTTTCATTGATATATTCAATTTCAGTTAATGGACATGGTTGTTTAAATGTAGTAGCATGAATAGTATATTCTTTTATAGAATATGGTTCAATATCAATTAGAATAAGAAGCTAAATGAAGTAAATAAAGATTTGAATTATATTTAAAATAAATTATTCTAACTTCGAATTGATTTTGATTCATTATATTTGATCGTCTATTAGACCATTTTGGATCAATTTGACATGTTTCAATAGGTTGTTTATTACTAGTTACACGTACATAATATGTATCAAGAAGAATTTTAACAATTTCAATTCGTCTTTGATCTGTTGGATTATAAATATAAATCATACGAATTTTTTCTTTATTATTATTATTAAATGATATAAATTGTCTTATTGGTAATGTATCAAATGTTTCAAATTCTTGATTTAATATTAAAAATTGATTATTAAATGAATAATCATTTTGAAAAAGAAGATAAGCAGCAGATTGTTGCATTACAATTTGTGATAATATTATGACTGTTAGAAGTCTATAAAACAAAATGAGATAAAAATATAAAATAGAATTTATTTATTTTATTTTTTTTGACATACTTTTGTCCAAAATCATTAACAACATGAGCTCGAGCTGTACCTGTTATACCATCATGATGTTGAAAAACACCAAGATTTCGTCGTGCAATAATTAACTTTGTGAATAGATCATCTTTTGGGAAATAACTAGCTAGTTTTCCCTCGAGAACTTGAGCATGAGCAATAGAAAAGAGAATTTCAGTAGCTCTAAAAATAGTAATAAAAATATTTTAGAGACAATTAATTACTTAACTATTTTCTTTTTTTTTTATATGAAATTTTATCCAGAAATGTTTATACTAAAGCAAATACTTAGAGCTAATAACGTTGTATATATATATATAATAAATCTATTTTGAGTGCAGTTCTAATATTCTTTCAGATAAAATTAAAGTTCAATGAAAAAAAAAATATTCAAAAATGGATAATGAAGTCAGTTGATACTATATTCGACATTCAGACTGTTTTGAATATAGATGCAAAGATAATTCACAAAGAAATTGAAATCTAACACTGTATTATATCAAACAGTTGCAAGATAGTCGGAATAGTTCCGTACAGGAAGAGATTATGTCAATGATAAGTACGGATTTGATCGTTCAACTTCTAAGCTGATAGATGAAAATATTGAACGAGTTCGACTGATTATTAACAAGGATATATATTCAACTTATAATAATATTATAGTTGACACTTCCTTCTTATGATATACTAGAACGGATTTTTCATGATTGTCTAAAGATAAGAAAAGTTACATCACATTGAGTGACTCGTCCACTTAATGATGAACGAAAGTAAAAACGAGTTAGAATTTGTCGTGAAGATGTGGTGACATTTCCTAACGATTATGCGATATAACTACAGGTGATAAAACATGAGTTTATCATAGAAAAGTTTGGCATAAGTGAACTAATACTAGCTGAATCAGTGAAGGTAAATCAGCAACGACTATTGTTCATCGAAATAGATTCCAGCTAAAAACTTTGTTGTGTATATATTCTTTAAATTAAATGGTCCTATTCTTATGCAAATAGTAGATATAAAGGCAAAACTATTGATCACAACTATTATATTGAAAATTACTTTAAGTGTGTTTTCAGTGAAACTTGACAGCAGAGAAAGTCATTGGATACAGAAGGTATAAAACTACTTCACGACAATGTTGAAGGCATACTCGTTTAGATACTATTAATTATTTAACCAAAGATATTAATAAAATGCTACATCCACTATTTTTCACTAGGCCTTGCATCATGTGATTAATGGTTAAATGATAATATCAAGCGTAATTTAATTAACCAAACAAATGAAAAATCATTGACTAATGTGATTTTCAAGATAGTTCAAAATATTTCAGTAGAACAGTTTCGAAAAATATTTAACAAATTATTAGAAAGAATAGAACTTTGTATAAATAATCATGACAACTATTTTGAACATTTAATAAAATTCAACGAAAATACATGTCTTTCTTTTTACATCACATTTCTTTATACTACTGCCGATATACTGTGGTGCTCATAAGAACCGGCGGTAGTTCGTACGACTTCCATTGGCAGCCATAAACGATTGCATAGAGTATTTTCTATCCAAATTTGCATTATTTATTAGGAAGAATTCAAATTAACCGAAAACAATACAGTTTCAGAATATATTTTACTAATACAAAATGCTTTGCAAGACCATCTATAATAAAATTTATCTCATAACTGGGACGAATTTGAGCTCTGTGATTAGTACAGGCAGCTCAGACGCATCAACATAATTGAGTACCTCGAAAGCGACTCGATTCGGTTACTTTTAATAGACTTCAAAAATATTCACTCATTCCCGGATCTATAAATACGAGCCGATTCTCGTAGTAAGTTTATGAATTCAAGCGCGAGAATCATTGACCTGAGTTTTGATACAACATTTTCAAAGAATAATCGTCGGTAGTTTCACATGGACTATAAGAACTTTTTATCAGCCATACGTATTTTCTTTCCGAGAGATTTGAGAATGAAAGATATTAACAAATTTTTGATGAGTTTAATAAATCTTAAGAATTACACAGTAAAAAACAATTTAATTCAGCACCTTTAAGGAAAAAACAATGATTTTTTCTTTCAAACGAAATTTTGAAAATACATTTTCGATTATGTTTTAAACAAGAATAAATGAAAGATTTCTACTCATATTATTCTATATAAAATATGTACTTGATTTTTGAAATCATACTTTTATTTTCATACCTAAGATAAGATTCAGCAATTCGATTCATTCTTTTAAAAAAAGCTCTTGATGTATAATAACCACTCCAATAATGATCATCATGATCAGCATATGTAAAAAAATCTCCGGCATAACTTGGAAATTCTACGAGAGATTTTTCTTGTAGAATTTGTTCAAAATAATCATTTAATGTACCATATTGAATCTAATTTGTTTTTAGTTTTGTTATAGAAATTAATATTTTCCTTTAATAAATAAATAAATCTTACATGAGTATTCCAATCTGCTCGTTGATTAATATATGTAAATAATTTATCATAATTATTAAACTGAAGTTTAGCTTCATATATTGATATAAAACGAAAATCATCACCTAATGGAATAAGTAAAACATTTGTTCGATATAATTGAGCTTTTTTTCGATATTGATCTAATAATAATTCAGCTCTAAAAAAAACAATAAATTAATAATAAATTCGAATAAAAAAAAACAACTTGATTTACCTTTCATGAGTATTATTTTCATTGATAGATACAGGATTTATACCCCATGGACAACCTGCAAATAATTTAGCTCCTCGTCTAAAATCAAATTGACAACATATTTTTGGATCAGGACCACATGAATATGAAATATCATAACCATGAAATGGAAGTATATGAGTAAAAATTCGTTTTGAAATATTACGATCTATTAGAATTATATTATTAATGTATTTATAAAATAATTAATTTACCCCATGTTTGTTGCCAAAAAAATTCTAATTGTTTCTCTTTTGCTAATGCTTTTTTTATATGATAATGAACTCTAAAAATAATTATCAAATAATCTTATTTCAATTATTTGTTAAAATTTACCGTTGAATAGCCACATAATGAATATCTGAACCTTGTAATAGATAAGCCATAGTTGGTGAATAACCAAATGGATCATTAGCCCAACTACTTTGTATTGTAATATTTCCTAAATAATAGAATAAAAATTAGATTGAAACAAAATGAAATAAAATAATTTTCTAACCAAATGTATTTTCAATAAATTGATGTCCTTCGATAAGTTGATCAAGCATACCAAAATAATGTGTATTTGCTTCATCATTCATTACCTAGAAAAATAAATAAAATAAAATTTATCATTACGATTTGAGTAAATAAGAAGTCAGAATATAGAGACACATATATCGGATTAGTTTGGTTGATGAATTGCACTAAAACTAACGAGGAAATATTTTCAGTTTTTTTCGACAACAGAAAACATTACTACAGGATATTTCAAAATTATAATCTCTCTCCTGTGCTATGTACAAAAAAATTAATATTGTATCTTCAAAAGAAATCTAATTGTTTAATTTGTATGTTCGTTAGATATATGAATCTATGTAGCACGTAGACATGTCTATGTGCTACATAGATTCATATATCTAACAAACATATGAATTAAATAATTAGATGCCTTTTGAAGATACAATATTAATTTTTTTGTATATAGCGCAGGAAAGGATCTATAATTTTGATATATTCTGTATCTTATAAAACGGTCGATATGCTCTATAATCTGACGAGAGAATCTTTCCAGGTCCTAAATTGCTTTTTGACCGAGATGATGTTCATCTGATGAGTGTTGGTGAGTAATAGAAAAGTCTAGAATGACTTGGTTTTTCCAATCTTTGTTCTTGAGATATCAAAGTTTTACTGAGCTTTTCGTCTCCCTCAGACCACGTAGAAAACCAACTTTCGAGTTTCAACATAAAACTTGGTACAAATAAAGCTCTTAATAAGATTAGTTGAATGTACAAGTTTTAGCTTTTCTATTATTTCCTTTTTGAAGATAAACAAAATTTGCTTTTACACATGAGAAATTTTTGAATATCCAAAACCACAAGATAGGAGATACTAGAAAAGTTACATATTGGCTAATAAACTAATCTGATTGAGAACTTTGTTCATGCAAAACCTAAGAGAATTTTTTATAATCATATTCGGAATCAGCATAGTGGACAACTTATTATCCAATAGATTTTGATGAGAAAAAGATTGATTAGTTGAAAACGTCTTCTCATGAGACTCTCATTTAAAGATTCTACTGGGATGTTAGATGATATCTCCTATCCTACTCGGGTGAATATTCTTTTACTTTCTTACCCAACCACCAGTAACAATTTCCAATTGTTTATTATCCAGAAGTTTTTTTAATAATTGACGTTGATCATATGTTGCCTGATCCCACCATAAACTTAAAAAAGACATTTCAGCCCAAATAAATTTATATTTTGAATTTTTATCAAGCATTGTTATCATTGTATTAAGAATACGTCGTGCTGAATAGGCAAAATATTGTTCATACGTATTAAGCCAACCTAATGAAATCAACCAAATAGAATATGTTTGATTTTAAAATTTACTATTCATTTCAAAATATAATGTGTCCTACGGTTTTTTTTTCGAATAACTTGTGTTAGGAATATCATAGAGATCTGCGATTTTTACCATTCAAGAGAAAAGATTCGAGACCATCAAAATTTGATTAGTCAGCAATTGATCTATCAGGTGAGTTCTTAGTGAAGATTTTCAAAAGCAATATTTTCTTTCAATCTACCCAAGGCTGACGTTCGTAGCATGGCTTGTTTAAGAGTTAAAAGACTTTTTCTAAGACTTCCGATTTCAGCTAATTGACCTCTCAGCATTCGAAAAAGCAGCTAGGCAAAGATAATTCACCAGAGATATCTATCGCGGCTGAAAATTTGTCACTGCTGTGCCACTGTCTTGGACATCTCTGTAAGCCACCTTTCTGAGTCGAATGATGATATTTTACATTCGAACTAATCTGACATTGTTGTCTCAATATTTTCGAAATACCGACTTCTTCATTACATGGAGGCTGATTCTGAGATTCTAGAAATAATGAGATAATAGAGTCGGATCATTTCGAATGTAAAAATAAATAACGCTATTCGACTCAGCATAATGATTTACGCTTGTCTAGCTGCTTTTCCGAGTGATCAATGATCAATTGGCTGAAATCGGAGGTGTCAGAAAAAGTCTTATAACTCTTGAACAAAACGTGCTAGAAGTGTCAGCCTTGTGTAGATCGAAAGAGAATATCGTTTTTGATAATTTTCACTAACAAGGGAACCTTCGGAAGCGTTCAAAGAATTTAGACTTCGTCTTTTGGCCATAAATAGACTTCGATGAGGTATGAAAAAGCTGAAAAGGATTTGGGCTCCAAGGTCTTTCTTTTCAAGGCATTGAATTTTTAAGATATGGTATGAGGAAACGAGAATGGGTGTGGATGTAGAGTGTAAGCATGAGTGTCGCTATTCTCTTGAACACCCCACACATCCACACCTTATGGCCAAAAGATGAAGCCTAAACTCTTTGAACATCTTGAGAGGTTCCCTCGTAAGAACTCACTTGATGGGTCAATTACTGACTAATCAAATTTTGATATATTTCAATGACTCTGAATCTCCTCTCTTGAATGGTGAAAATCGCAGATCTCTATAATTTTTCTATCAAAAGTTATTTAAAAAACATTGGAACATATTATATTTTGAAATGATTATTAGTTAACCTGGATCACAATGTGAATGAGGCATAAGAATTATTTTTAATTTATTATTTGATGTCCATTGTGATGTATTATATTGAATATCAAAACCATGTAGCCAAACACCACCATTTTGATTATCAAATGGAAGACTATCATATAATTGTTGAGTCTAGAAAATTGATAAAAATTTTTATAGGAATTTTAAATGAATAATTATCCTACATTAAATGTGGTATTCATGGGAGAAGATGTTCGCCAAGTACATTGATTATTATTATTATTATTATAATTAGATTCGAATAAAATTGTTTGAGTATTATTTTCAATTGATTGTGAAATTGGTTTTTCTTTAACAATTTCAAGTAATGATTTTGATTGTTGTGTGAATATTAATTCTTCTGCTTGTTTTTGATTTAAATATTTAATTGCTCTATCAAGATCTTGCATAGAATCTTCAAGAGAATCGAGATGTTCATTAATCCATTGTTCGTTTATTTTCTATAGAAAATAAAAATCGATTCAAGTTTTAAATATAATACTTAAAAAACATTTTTGATTACTTGTTGTTCATCTCTATCTGTGCTAATTGACTCAAGCATTGTATATAATATAATAACTATTGCAAGAAAGAAAACAGGAAACAACACATGGGTAGACCACCGACGGCTCATCTACAATATATAGTGTAAACATCAATAATAAAGTTTTAAAATGTTATGTTCAACTTCTTCTGACGAAATTTTACAAGAAAAATCTCAGTTCTGCTTCAATGTGTATTATTGAATTTATTCTAATTCATCAGTAATCCAAGCTCGATCAGTTAAATTTCAATAAGTTCTAAATGCGTTTCAAAATAAACAAAATATTTTTCTTTTTCTTTTTATCTTTTCAGATCATTTAGTTATCTGATATTGATTTAAACAATATACTTTGAATTATTATCTTGTTCGAAACAATAGAATAACATGTTTCACAAGATTTTATTTTTGTTTATATTTTGTAGCAAAGTCATGTTTACAATTGTATACGTAGAATAAAAAAAAATAAACTAAAAATCAATGGCATCAATTAAAGATTAGTATTTAGTACAAATTAGTTTTGTCAGTATTAGAAAGAAAAGATGAGAGATTCAAGAAAAAAAAAACAATAAGCAGAAAAAAACACGTTTGATATAAATTCGTTTGTCTTTGTCCATGTTCATAGAAAAAAGCACATAAAACAAAAGGAAAAATAATAATATGTATGTACGGAAAATATGAGTATTTGAATTTTATAAAGATCACTGTTATTTTTTTGATTATTGTCATTATTATTATTATTATTATTAGAGATAAAGTCCATTAATTAAATAATCAGCATCAACAGCATAATTTTTCAGTCTACGACCACCCTTTCGTACTTTTCGACAATAACAACAGAGTATAACAAATAAAATAATTGTACATAGAAGACCCAAAACAAGAAATATAATAACAGCTATTTCACGAGAATATGATTTTTTTTTGTAATATAGTAACATTAGCTAGAATAAAAATAAACAAAAATAAATCCAATTTGTTTATTTAACCATCATAAACAAAAAGAGTAGTATAAACTCGGAATAAATCTTCATCTCGATATATCAATTTAACTGTTCAAAAAAAAAAGCATCTAGCCAATCTAAAATTCATTTCTTATCAAATCAATACATATATATAGAGGAATTTAATATCAATGTATTGCGTGTAAATAGAATCAATAATGATTAATTCGAAAACGATGAACAATATGAATGTACACGTGATATTCAAATTCATCTTTGTCTAGACTAATTTTAGAATACATAAACTCATAAAATCAAAGCATTTGATCATTACAAAAGCACATGCCATGCAAATAATAATAAAGATATGTTTTCTATTTTAGCAAGAGCAAGGATAACTGATTAGGTAGTTATTAGTACAAATTAAAGGTTGTCTCTATGTTGATACAAAGCTTACAAATCGTTGATGTTAATTTTTCATCAATAATTGTTGTTAGTGATTTCGTATAATATGCTGAATTTTTTTTAGGTATCATAATTGTATAATCTTGATGTGATGCTAATGTACAACTACCATTACAAGCAAATAAATAACATTTATAACCATCCTAAATGAATCGAAAGAAAAAAAGAACGAATATTTAAAATATAATAGAATTAACTTACATGAGTTGGCTGCTCACTAAGCATAGCTAAATCACAAGTTGTTTCTTCACAACAATTAAGCATACAACTATCATGAATATTCATATTTAATGATAATGATCTTTTATCAATAAGAATATATCTTATCATATGTGCACCATTTTTTAATTCTTTTACTTTAATTAATTGTTCATATTTAATATCATATTTATTAATACATAATGATTGATCAGATAAATCATTTTGATTAATTATTGTTGTTGTTAATTTTAATCGATCTGTTCCATCATTACTTTCAGATTCTTCATTAACAATATCATCATTTTCATCAAGAACTTTTTTACGTGATGAAGATAATTTTTCATGTTGAAATAATGAAGGATCATATCGTTCATCATCACTTTGATCATAAAAATTTTGTTTATATGGGCGATGTCTATAATTATATTGAGTCTTTAAAAGATCATCTAATTCATACATATCATCATTATGACGACGTAATTCAATCGGAGAGATTAATAAAAGAAGAAATGCAATGAAGATCTTCATCTAGAAAATAATTTTTTATAATTAATAATCTAATATGTCAACAAAAAACAAATGAACTAGTTAAATCTTTTCGTACATCGGAAATTCTTTACTGACGATTAAAATAAGTATTTCAAATAAAAGAAATACATTATATAGAATTCCTTATGTTAGATTGAAATATACAAAAACTCATGATTATATCTGTAATCTTTTTCTCTTTTTAATATCTTGTTGTAAAACAATTGGAATTAAATTTGATTTTTGTACAATTTCACGCATTTTACTACGAATTTCATTCGTTGTTCTTTCAAATGATTTTAACGAAGGTGATTCAATTGTATTAGTTGGACACGATATTGAATCATTTTTTGGAATAAGAGTTGATTGTTTATATACAATTTTACATTGTTTTTTTGGTGTATTTTGTCGAATAGTATTCATTGTTGATTTTTTTCTTTTTGCATAATTATTCATTTCACTTTTACGTTGTACAATTGTTCTTCGTTCATTTAATTTTTCTCTTAAATCATCTAGACTTTCACATTCAGGTGCATAACATATGTGTAAAATTGATCCCATAAAATTCATATCATCAAGATGACGTTTAGCATTACGTGCTTGTTGTATTTGTATAAATTTAATTAAGATAGTATCAAAAAATTCATCATCTTGTGTTGAATCTTTTCGTATATATCCATCTAATCTCCAATATTGTTCAATATTTCCATATTGATTAAAATATGGTAGTAATTGTTCAACAACACCAGCTATTGATGGAATATTTTGTATAAGAAGATATTTTGATTCTTGAGCTATTGTATAAACTTTTACAGCACGTAATTTTTTACCATTACGATATGGTGAACGAGTTAAACAAACATTATCTTTAACATGATGATCATGTGATTGAAACATCTAAAATAATTAAAAAAAGGGACTAGCGACTATCTTTATTTGAATAAATAAATAGATCATAAAAATAGGTTAATTAAGTAAAATGTAAAATATATATACAAAAAAAAACAGATCATTAATAATCCTGAAGCGAGAAAAGCAGGAAATAAGCAGATTTATTTTTCGTTGACGGTGGTGACTAGAAAGTTGATTATCTTGGTTAGTGTGATTATGCAAATTGAAAATCAGCACCATGTAGATGTCTTTCTTTTGAGCAAGGATGAGATTGCAAATGCGCGGAAGTATATGTATATATATGAATAAAATATATATGAAAATAAATAAATAAATTATGTTTTGGTTTCTTGTTTACTTGCTAAACGTTTTTTACGTACTAGAAATAAAAAAAATAAATAAATAGCTTTTATTTTTATTTTTGTTGATATATTGAAAAGTGATTTACGAGCATCAAGATTTTGTTTAAGTTTTTCTGTAACACGAACTCTAGGACCAAGAGTATCAAATTGTAAATTTAAACGAAGTAGAGTATTATTTTTAGCAACGGCATCAGCAACTTCCATTTCAACTCGGTTACCAAGAATTTGAGAACGCTTAAAAAAGAATAAACAAAATTATTAATAAGAAAAAAACAAAGAAAACATAACTAATATTGAAGGTGTGTAAACTACATAAAAAAAAGGTGTGTATGTGTGTACAGGACCAAAACTTATAGTTACACTTTTATTGTTTTCGAATGAATCAATAAATCATTCGTTAGCTGAAATAATGCAAATATAGGTTAAAAATTCATTAGATATTATCATCTTAACATATCTCTTATTAAAATTACTTTTGTATATTTAACTATATTGACATTTATACATAATGAATGATAGGTGCTTTAACTTTTTGCGAACCTAATGAATGTATCTAGTTGTATATCATACTTTTTTTTTCCTTCTTTATTACTTTTACAAAGCAAATAGAAATAACTTAAGGGCACTATTATGTAAGATCACGATATGCTTCATTACTCATGATATCAAACCATTCGTAAGAACATTAAAGTTAAGAATAAATCATTCTTTCTATATTCAAGGTATACCACAAGTCCTTTCCTTATATCTTTTAATTTTCTGCTTGTTAGCGATGACCCGTCTAGATACTCACTCATTTTCAAAATATTTCTTTGATTTTAAAAACGAAATTAACAACAATATTCTTATTAACAAAATGAACGCGTTTGTTCTATATATTATTCAAGTACATGAGAGTTCTCTTTGTTAGCATTATCAATATAAAATATAACACTAACACAGAGAAGATTTTTGCTCACGACTATTTGCTTCTTAGTAAATTTTCTTTTTTTTCGATAATATAAAATAGGATAAACAATCATTTTAAGTTTTCGATTCACTTAAAATATACTAATCTATTCATTTAATTCCGTTGACATGACTTATTTATCATTCATTCTATGACAACAAAATAGAACATTGAAACCTATATCGTCAGCCAGCATGATGCTTTTGTTTTGTTTATACACTGGATTATTATTATTATTTAGTAAGGATATACACCCCCATCCGCTTTCACGATTTCTCTCGACATCTGTTTGATATTAATTAATTGAATAAGACATATTAAATTTATTATTGTCAAAGTTTTCCAATTGATTTGATTAATTTGAAGTAAATGTTTCAGATTTTTGTTTTTGTTTTCAAATTCGAAATAAATCATTTTGTTTTTTACCTGATTTGATAAACGTAATTCAATCAATGTTTGATTCTTCAATGTACTTCGTACGATTTCAGTAATAATAGGACCTGTTAATCGATTTGATTGAGCACTAACTGTTTTCAATGTTGTATTTGCTTCAATAAGTTCTGCAAGAACCTAATTATTAAAAAACAAAACAATCTATTCCAAACTTTTATATTCTCGAATTAAGATAAAAATTCTTACTCGACCAACATTATCAGTCATACCAACATTAGATATTTCAAGAACTTCTACATGTGTATTTTCTTTTAATGCATTAAGTAAATCTTTAAGTACATCAGGTTTTATTCCTTGAATATTATTTAAATTAATACGAGTTAAATCTTTATCATTAGCTTTAGCTTTTGCTATACATTCTTCAACACTAGTTGTATTATCGGGTTCCGGTATAAGTAATTTTAATGGTTCAGATTTAGCGGCAGCTTAAAGAAAAATTTTAAATTATTTATTTATTTATTTTATTGTTTTGTTTTTTTTTTCTTATCATACCATTCCAACCACCAGCACTTGTTGATACAGGTTTGTCTGTTACTGCAGCATGATATTGTACTTGATTAATTAAACCAGTAAAACCAAGAATAGCTGAAAAGGAAAAAATTTAATTATATATAAAAAGAAAAAAAGAAATTTTAATATCAATAAATTGAACAGACCAGCAAGTTCAACAATTTCTGATTCACTTGCATTTGTTAATACATCATCCCATTCTGTTTTAGCTAAAAATTCATCATCTTCATCAGCAGGTGATTTTACAACTTCAGGTGCTTGCCAAACTTTGCCTTTCTTTTCACCGGGTACATGTGGCTTTTGTTCTTCCCAATCTTTTTCACCTTTTGCTTGTTCAGTTAGAAAACTTAAAAGTTTATTACGATCATATGTACCAGTTGCTTCTTTATCTACTCTATATTTACAACGATCACTTGCTGGTAAATAAGCATTCTTAATAGAAAAATTATTATTAGAATAAAAAAAGAAAACCAATTAAATGAATATCAAATACTTCTGGATCAATAAGATCATTAATATTTTCAAGTTCTTCAGCGTTAAGTGCACCTAAAAGTGCTTCAAAATCATCCATATTCACATTTTCATTCGAAGTTTTCTTTGTCGCCATTGCGTAGATTTTAATTAATGTGACGAAATAATAATAATAATAATAATAATAATACAGTTCTATAAATGGAAATAAATATAAATATATAGTAACCAATTAGGGATTATAAAACAGATGGCAATAGTTAGTTATGAAGTATAAGCATTGAATTCATTGGTTGCATAAAAGAACCATTCTCTAAAACGCAAAAAAAAATGTCATGGATGTTGTCTATTGAACTATTAGAGTATTGTCAATCATGTCTATTATTGTTAATTCAGAAGATCCGGTAAAAAAAGCAGAAAGAATTTTATTGAATTTATTTATCTTTTATAATTTAGAATAATATATCACAATTATTTGATATTGAAAAAGATTGGCTTATTGGTCGAACAATTTTATCAAATAATAATTTTAATCCATTTAATTATATTTTTGATTACAGTGAAAATAATAAAGATCTTGTATGTAGTTTTTTCTTTATACAAGTTACTTATGGAAATAATATTGAAATAAACAATTCTCCTTTGATTCATTTATACCATCAATACGAGATTATCATCCTAAAGAAATTCATAGTATTATTAATCCAGCTAAAATCTATAATCGTTAACTCTTTGAGAACTGACGCTTTTGTTTTTGTATAGAAAAAAATTGGATTTTGCACTTACAAAATCAATTATAGTTGAAATTTATTACAAGAAGTTGTCGAAACAACCTACATCACAATCTTTACACATATAGTGTGAATTAGTTCTCTTAATAAGTCTAGTTGGTTGATAAGTCAATGCAGGACGACCTATTGTAGATTTTGGAATACTATAAATTTTAAACAATAATCTATTACAAAGTTTCTTTCTCGTGTTGGATCTATAAGGGAAATGTTGCAATGAACGATAACGAAATACATTGAGCTAAATATGTACGACTATACCTAGATTATTTCATAACGTAACATGTATATTGGAATAAAATCTATACTAAAAATCCCAATTTTAGTGTATCTAAGGATTTCTTCCCTTAGTTGAATTTCGAAATCGAATATATACGGACTCGGTCTCCAAGGAGTTAAATGTCTTACAAGAGAACATTCCCAGGTGTTTCGCTTCCATTTCGTTCATTTATATGTCATTTGATAGAGGGCCCTAGTAAGTAAAAAGCCTAGAAGGATTGTGACCGATGGCTTTGTTTTACCTACTCGAAGTCCTCTATCAAATAATATATAAACGAATGAAATCGGAGTGAGACACTTGGAGGTGTTCCCTTATTAGTTAAATCAAAAATCAATGTACTTATTGTTTAGTCGAATGTTGATGGAAATTCGAATTAGTCATCATCCATTATTCGAAGAAGCCAACATTACGTCTTATCTTCATGATACTCGTATATTCTTGATAATGTTTTGAGAAATGTATGACATCTGTAACGTAGAGAAATGTTTTATACAGTAAACATATTCATCTGATAACTCTTTCGTTGACAATCTGACTTTCATGTTGACTACATTGCTAAACTTTTACTACTTCTTTTTATAAATGATGTGTATTCATCAGTATCATAATATCTATTGAAGAGTAAGGTGGTGGAGAAAAAAGTTTTAACAACAATGTATTTTTGACTTTTTTTTCCTATAATGTTAAGCACCTAACTCAAATCCAGATAGTAATTTTAATAACCAATAGAGTTTTCAGGTCTCAGAAGATTTCGTCGGAACGATTTTGTGACACACGACCTAAAAGAGGGGAAAGGGTCATAGACATGATCGACATCTTAGCAATGCTCTCTTCCTGCGTCGTAGTTTGTGACAGATATTGTTGATATACGATCAAAGACTGTATATCAATAACGTCTCGTTATAATATATGAGATACGTTCTTACTGCTTTTCTGTAGGATTAAGTAAAAGAATGGTGAAGAACTGTTTCCAAGAATAGATAGAATATGACAATCTCCATGTGATTAGGAGCAACAGTTGCAATATATTTCAAGCTTTAACCCCGCAGGGATTGCGCTAATAGTTTTTTTTCTAACAATGCCGTTTTAAAGAGTACCAAATTCTTTTGTTTTTTAGAAACTTTAGATAGCACGATAAATTTTGAATTTTTTTTTTAATTAGGATGATCATTCTCGATTACAACAAGTTGAACATATACATACATTAAGTCAACAAGTAATACAACGACCAAATCGAACATGTTTGTCAGATATTTACAACACAAATAATGTTGTATGTTATAAATCTTAAGTTTCATTTTTTTTAGTTTTTAAATTTTATTTATATAATCCTATTTTATTAGCCGATACGAATTGGAAATAGAACATTATATAGTATCATACCATCGCAAAATACTCTATTTGAATTAGCTCAAAATAAACCTGATAATAGTCGTTGGACTTTGACATTTCAAGAAGATGTAAGATTATTAACAAAAAATAAAAATAAAAATAATTAAATGATTTTCTTCATTCAAGGAAATATTTAGTGATGTTGATGGTGATGATGGTTTTCAATCGGCTTCATCATCACTCTCCGAAGATAAATCAAAATTAGCTTTAGTTCCTATTGATGAAACTGATCATTGGTTTCGTGCTTTAACACAAGCAGAAAATAAATATTTTACATGGGAACAACGTGGCAGGTAGAAATTATAAGTATTTATTTGTCAGATTATTTTTGAATTAATTGAAACTATTTAGTTACATATACGATCGAATGCCTCCATATTTATTTGATCTTCGTAAAGATGATCGACCATTTCAACATATGTGTTTACTTCTTTTGTTTAATAAACCATCTTTATCTTATTCTATTGCTGATATCAATTATCGTCCAATAGCTGTTGATGAATTTCTACGTGATCTTTGTTATATGCTTATGGGAATATCATCTCAAACATTTGAATGGAATGAGGTTAATTGATATTAACAAATAAATTTTACTTTTTTTTTTGTCTTAAATATTCTGTTGTCTTATTAGATTCATCAAACATTTGAACTTGAACCAGATGTTTATGTTCTTGGTTATACACAAATAACAATTGAACAATTTTCATTAAAATATATTCAAGCAGGAAATAATTTTTATTTAATTAAACAATATATTAATCATGCATCGAAAAATTCTGAAACAGAAAATGAATTTTGTCAAGCTCTTCGATGTTATTTACGTTATATACAAAAATCTATTGCTATATATGATATTTCAAAATATTCTTTAGTTAAATTTGCTGCTCAAGTTGATCCAATACTGTGTAGTCTTGAGTATGTTTCGAATATAATACTATAAATAGATTATAATAAAAGACTCGTAGGATTGTTAGCATAGGTAGTGCAAAGTTTTGAATATTAGGATAAACTCAATAATCTTTATAAGATCTTCATTGAGAAGTTAAAAATGAGGATGAATCTTTTTTCATGCCATTCAGATGAAATATAGTTAGTGTTTCTATTTTCAATTTACATTTTGAACTGTATAAAGCTGGGGCGATTCAGAAAAAATTCGTAACTTGTGTTCAAAGATGTGCATTTAAAGAAATACCTCAACATTTTTTTTAAAATTTCAATCGTCGAACGAAGAGTTTTCGATCTACTTTAATAAGAAAAAATAGAACAATAGTGAAACAGCAGTGTTCATTAAAAAAAAAGGAATTACATTATGGATTTAATCATTTCGCTGAAAATATTTCTTAGACGCGTAAGCATACGAGATAATTTCCTCAGCTGCTTCCTTCCAATTTCGATGATTTTTTTGCCTATAGATTAGAGTCCATCAGATCCTACCCGGACTCGATGGTCTCTACAATAGATACTACATAGTGTTCTAATAAAAATCCTAAAAGAACTTGAACTTTCGAATTTTGATCTGAAACTTTGTGTATATAGAGAACTCAACTAGACTAAATTCCATTAAAAAAAAAATTCATAAATTTTGAATAGTCTCTTTGAGATATGGAACGTTCAAGATATAGACTCTTGTTTATGGATAGTGTATACAACATGCACCTTTTTGACAGCGTTATATCTCGAAGAGGCTTTATTCAAAACTTATGAATTTCTTTTATCGAAGCTAATCTAGTTGAGTTTTCTATATGAGCAAAGTTTGTAGTCAAAATTCAAAAGGTTAAATTCTTTTAGGGTTTTAGTTAGTACACTGTGTAGTATTTATAAACAAAAAAAAAAGTCATTGAAATCGGAAAGGGGCAGCTGAAGAGATTATCTCGTTAACCACTGAAGGAAAAGAAAACTTTCAGCAGCTTTTAGTTTATCTTATTTCAAGTCATTGGCAATGTAGGACTCAACATGTAGTCATATAAAATTGAACGTTTTCTAAGTCTGCTTCACTATGAAAATGTTACTATTTGTTGCTGAAGGCGGTAAAAACTTTTGACATCAGCTTACTCAAGCCTTGTGGCTCTGCCATCTATGATTGTTACTTATTATTAGATGTTTCATTGAGATTTTGGCTCAGAGTAGGATCCAGTATATTCAGAACTTTAAGCTCTATCGATTAACATATATATCTTAAGTAAAACGGCACTCAGTATGGGTTAGAGTGTATTTTACTAATACTCTAAAATATGTGTAATAATATGACTGAACTGTTTCGATAAGAAGCTTTGGCTGAAACATCATTTTGAAAATATCTATTTAAACGATTAAATTTTCGAAATGAAAATAAATGATTCTAATTATTTCAACTAGTTGTATCCAAAAAATTGAAATGCTTTAGATTGAATTTTCATTTTTTAGTCTTCCATTATCTTTAATATCGACAATAAAAGAACTTGAACAAACAATTCATACATCATCACCAAATACATCAATAGCTTTTGTTAAACTTTCTTCTATTCTTCATACACTTCTTAATCATAATTATCATAATATTGATCATAATTATTTTCTTTTACTTATTCATTTTGTTATATATACTATACGACCTATATTAGTATTTCTTACTGATCTTATGATACATTCAAATTATCTTGATCGTTATAATGAATATCCAATATTATTTAATTATAATCGTTTAATTGGTTTAAAAACAAATGATTTTTGGACAAAAACATTTACAATACGTTATTTACATGCTAATAATCGTGATACAATATTTCATCAAATTTTACCTATTGAATATTTACAACAAATTGTTAATATAACACGTTCATTAATGTTAATTAAATTATGTGATAAAAATCATCCATTATGTTCACTAACAACAAATATAATACCACAATTAAATTTTATTTATATTAATTCATTAGATAATATTGATCGAAAACAAATATATAAATATCAAGAAGAAATGAATGAAAAAATTTTCGAATATGAACAAGCACAGTAATAAGAATAAAAAATAAAAAATAAAACATAAATTTGTTTTGTTTTGTCTTTAATATTTTAGAAAACAAAAACGTCTTGAAATTGAACAAGCAAAAATTCAAGAACGAATGGATATGTATGCTCGTCAAGATCAACAAAGAGCTGAAAGAAAAAGTTAGTAGGAAAAATTAAGATTATTATTATAAACTTCTTATTAGAGTTTTCTGAACATATCAATTAAGAGTATTCCTATTTTCTGTTTCGGAATTTCTGGAGAACAATTCATCAGAAAAATTTGAAAGTAGATCTGGATGAATAGTGCAAAACTGTTCTTTCTGTTTCTTTGAGATGCTATGTTTGATTGAACTGAAAATTTTTTTTTACAGGCAGTAGATACTTCATTTTTTAATTTTTTGTTCTTCGAATAAAACAAAAGCTAAAATATCGAAGGTATCCTTAAAAAAAAGGTTTGTTTTTGTGTAAGAGCTACCAAAAATCAGCAGAACAATAAGTTTTGAACCAAAAAGAAAATGCTCACTCTAAACAATCCATAGTATATGTTTAAAAAACAGTTTCTGTTTGATCGAATGCACCAGGAGCGTTTCTACACTTTTTTCCTATGAAAAGGTTGGCTCGAGAAAAACGCGAAACAATGTAGATTTTTCGCTATTTCCTTTACGTAAAAGCGACTATAAGTTTTTCTTCAGTTCTACTGCTTACTGTTAACATGTAAACAATACGCAATAGAACTGATTATTGCATACATCATCTGATAGAGGAAGTCTTTCTTTACAAACCTACATATTTTTTGTTCTTTAGTCACATGCGTATAGTCGTCTTTGATTTGTTCTCGATTTTTTAACGTTTAAAGACAATATTTTGGATTCAGAAATGTGATCAGTAGATAGATGCTACTTCACACTATACAATGGCCATAAACAAGCAAAAATTTTGGATCACAAAATGAGAAGAGATACCCTTCATGACCATCAGAGACGAAGCGATTTTATTTTGACTATCATTGCTCAAATTTTTTCTTCATGTGTAGGAATCAACTTATGATACATAATTGTAAAGACGTTCCGATCAGATTAGATTTCATTGTTTTGCATTTGTTACTTACTAATATCTCGACAACGGTAACCAGAGATTAAACCAATTTGAAAACGTCAGACCGGCCGATAACCGGTACCGATTCCATCTCTGACAGTAACAGCTAGCAACCTGCAGTTTTCAGAAATCGAATGAGTAGAATTTCAGATCTCTTTTTGTATAATAGTATATAAGACAAAATTACTTTATAATCTATCATCTTCGCATAATATTCAAAACATGAATGCAAAACAATATTCTATTTTGATTTTGATACGTGCTTTAGATCTTTAGTTGAAGACATGATACAAATGATTATGTTTTCATATCTCGAAATTATATAGAATTTTATTAATTTTTAACAAAGATTCTATCTTTTTTGTCAAATTTCGATCGCTGAAAAGTGTAAGTCACTAGCTATCTCTGCTGTCGAGCTATCAAGACATTAGTGTTTAGTAAAATATAACGTTTTGTTTTTCTTCTCTTCATGTACTATTAACTTTCGATGAATTCTTGATTTAATTTTTGGTTATCTTTTATTTTTTTCTTGTTTATTAATAGAACTTGCTGATGATGAAAAACAACGATTACTAAAAGAAAAAAAGATTTTACGTGATCATTGGCAAGAACAAATTGATAAAAAACAACAACAAGTAAATAATTTAATTAATAATAAAATAAAATTCTAAAATTCGAGAGTTTTTTTGTTTTTTAGTTAAAAGAAGAAAAACTTGCACAAACAATTGCAGATACTGAATTCAATAAAGTTACTTCAACAACAACAATAATTGGTACTCGTCTTGCTACACCTTATGCGAATCTTGTAGAAAATGTTCGGTAACGAAATAAAATACAAGACATCCTTATATCTTTTCTTTTGTTTAATATATCGATTAATTGTTTAGTGATGAAATTATTTCTGAATATGATGCTAAAATGCGTGATGCTAATGAACGAGAAGAACAATTTCGTAATAGAATTCAATCAAACATTACTACAGATACTCCAACAGAAATTCAATCATCATTATCTAGTACTTCTTCACCAAGTTTTCATACACCAGCAATTGATCAATCACCAAGTATAGTTTCTAGTGTTGATAATCAGTCAATCATAGTTTCTCCTTCTCCAACAATTATTGAAAAACCTAATAACATAGAAACATTGAATCTAATATCAAAAGAAGAAGTACAATTAGTAAGCAAGTCAATTGAAAAACCTATAATTCGACATACAGCAACTGAAGAAACAACTCAAGATGAATATCGTCGAGTTGTTAAATTTGTACCTAGTAATGTATTGAAATCAACAATTCAAAATTATATGATTGATCATAATCCACTTGATGAAAATCAAGGTAAACGAAAAAATAATGAAACTATTTATTTATTCTATTTTTTTCTTTTTTCTTTTTAATTAAGAAGAAGAAGAACTACCAGAAAAAATCTACGATTGGGATGCTATCATTGCTAATGGACCTCAATTCAAATATGATGATTCATTTGGTAGGTATTATCATTGTATAATTCATTTAAAATTGAATCGAAATACTATCGAAAAAATTGATTATATATAAACGATGGCGAATATAAGATAGTAATATCAAATATTGATCCACCTATTGATGTCGATGAGCTTTCGAAAAACATCGATTATTTACATCAGCTAAACCCCATTACAATAACGATAGACAAACGATCATGAGTCTGAAGGACGATGATGACTAATATTTCATTATTTATATACTCCTATCTGAATGATGATACTTACGGTAGGGGATGTCAGGGTTCCGTTCCTAAGGAACGGGAACCCACGTGAGAATCCGTCTTCATGCATTTTTGAACAGTAGGGGACGTTTACACATACCTATTCTTTTGTTATGTAGCAAGTTACTATGGGTTTCCGTTTCTGGAAAATCGCTTCAGGTTTCTGTTCCTAGGAATGCGGAACTAGGGATGGTTTCTTGACTGTAGAAATACTTTAATCAAGTAGTTAAAGTTAAAATGGAGAATTTTTCAGTAAATAAAAAAGCTTTTTTAAGAAAAAGAACGAGTTTGTTATAAAGTTTGACCAATGATAATCGGAGTTGAAGAATCCGAATCTGTGATCGGTTTCTCAAAATTTTGAGTTTGATTTTTTCATAAAAAAAATGTACATCTTAAAAAAATGATTTTTTTCAGATTCGAATCCCTCAACTCCGATTACCTTTAGTCAAACTCTATAACAAACTCGCTTTTTTCTTAAAAAAAACTTTTTTTTTCAGTGAAAAAATCTCTACTTTAACTTTAACTATTTGATTAAAGTATTTCTACAGTCAAAGAGCCATCCATAATTCCGCATTCCTAGGAACGGAACCCAAAACCGACACTCCTAACTTACAGTTGCATGTAGAGCCCATCGGGCTAGTTTCAGGTCCGAATAGTTTGAACACAATAGACTCTGAGAAATGTGATACTGTATACGCTTGCTATCGTAGAAAAAGAAAGTCAGTAATATGTAGGTCTTCTTTTTTTGACCAGTAGTATATTTGAGACTAATGAATGAGTTGTTGTCATCATTGGATTAATAATTATCTTGAAATAAGCTTTTCTGCTTTTCGAAGAGTATTACGTTTGATTTATTTTTTATATTTTCATAGACTTTAAGGTTAACGAAAAGGACTCTCAAACGTTAAAAGAAAATTTCGCTGAGTCTTGGTTTAATTTTGATATGTCACCATTACGTGTTTGGTTAGAACATTCAATATCACCATTAATTCATGTTCAGTATGTCTATTTTTCAATTTTATTATTTATTTATTTGTTTTTTGAATTATTTTCTTTAGATCTCAATTAGTAAATTGTGCATTACTTAATTATTTTTTTGATGAATTAAAATTATTATATCATTTAAATAATCTTCGTTCATATTATTTTCTTGCAACAGGTCGATTTGGTCTTGCATTTTGTTCTGAATTATCTCAATTATTATTAACAAATGATGATGCTCGAATAATATATCGAGTTAATTCTATGCGTCAAATTTTATATACATCATTAGATCAAGCAGGAGAATTAGATAATTTAATTGATATTCTTCAATTAACAGCAAAAATAAATATACCAAATTCCATAAGTCTTTTAGATTCAACATTACTTGATTATTTTGATTTAAATTATACTATTCAATGGCCATTAAATATTGTTATATCACAAGATATGTTAGAAAAATATAAGATCATATTTCGTTTTCTTCTTCGAATACTTATTGTAAAACAAGTACTTAATGAAATATGGATTATACTTAAATCTTGTAAGTATTAGAAAAAAAAACAAATTCTTGTATAAGTTTTGATGAATAATGATAATAGTTAGAGATCATTGAGTAAAATATTTTATACTTTTGAGGAGTGAGATTTAACCATAGTATAAAGATTTCTCATAGATATGAAACTATAAAGAATTGTTAGAAAGTCTATTTTATTTTAAAACTTCAGTTTTACATTGAATGAAAGTCTGTTGAATAATTATGTTTAAAATAATAAATTACACGGTAGAAGTGAATGATAAACTCTTTCATTCTAGACAAGATATTTGAGTAAGATTTTTGGGAAGTATGAATAGATCGTTTCATATCTCTTCAACTTTTGGTCCTTATTCTATTCTGAAGCTAACGATATGAATAAAAGATTCAATGCTCATCAGCAAAGTAATATGGTATTCAATTAAAGGCGATATTTAGTAACTAATCTCAATTATACATCATTGATCTAAGTCAATCTTTGCAATAGCCCTAAACCTAAATTAACTTTCAGATGAATTAATTTATGATTCACTTTTTAGAATGCAGAATATACCATAGAGATAGTTTCGAGTGGTAACGCAAAGCTTCACTAGATTCCATATTCAGAAACTAAATACAATAAAAGATATAAAAAAAAAGACTTGTTCAACGAGTTTTTAAAAACAGCTTGAAAAATCATTATTTCATACTAATTTGTCTTTTTCTCATCATTTAAGGTAAACAACAAAATTCAACTTTATCAAAATTACATCAATACAGGTACAAAATATATATTTATCCTTTCTTATCATTTCCTATACATATATATATTCAGACATCAAATGCAACATTTTATGACTGTTCTGATTAGTTATATAACAAATCAAGTTATACAAATAGCTTGGACTGAATTTATGCATAAAATACAAAAAGCTAAGCATATTAATGAAATAGCTGCTGCTCATAATGAATATTTAGATCGAACTATGTTGAAGTAAATGTTTTTTTCATTTAAAAAAAAAATGAAAATAATAATTTTTTTTTTTTGTTCAGTTGTCTGCTCACTCCAAATGCAGCTCCAATTCTCAATGAAGTGAATCGTGTTTTAACATTAATAATACGTTTTCGTTGTCAACTAAAAACATTTTCTTGGATTCTTAATGCAAATTATACAGATCCATCTGATACAAGTGTACAAGCATTACGTACAACATTTGAAAAATATCATATTGCTGTACTTTCACTTTTTAAAGGTTGGTATTACAAACAAATGACACAAAAAACAACATTTCTTTTTTTTTTTATCTTTAGTTTTATCGAAACTTGTTGAAAAAGGATATAAAACATCATTATCTGATTTACTTATACGACTTAATCATAATGGTTATTATGATCAAATAACTACATTTTCCACTCGATAACATTTAATCATACAATATTTTTCTTAATATGTCAGATTTTGTTTTTTTTCAAATCGAAAATCTTCATTCAAAAGTAAACAGAAAATTTAATTTATTCTCTATAATCACCGTGCACGAATCCAATTATAAACATCATAAATAAAATGATTGTAGTTGATTTTATGATCGATGCTGTTGATTGAAAGAATTTATCAAAATCAAATTTAGTAATTAATGTATTTTTCATTCGTCTAATATTTTCTATTGAATTACAAGCACCATACTTTCGACATGCTAATGTTATTCTATCCAATTGAGTTTGATTATTAAGAAAAAATATTGTATAATAATCGAAAAAATTTGTTACAGCTTTTCCAGCTGGACACGTTGCACATATATCTATTTGTTCAGAATATTGAATAATACCTATACATTGTTGACAACTAAGTATATTTGTTTTAGGACAATATGTCATATTTGAAACTTGTAAACATAAACTACCATAAAATTCTGTTGTTGGAATAATTAATATATCAAATTTTTGTATTTGTTCATCAGTAGGAAATACTGTTGAAATAATAGCGAGTTTTAAATTGTCAACAGTGTTACATGGAGTTGTATTTGAAGGTTTACAATTGTAACTAATAAATCTATTAGTTACATATTCACCAGACCATGTAGTTACTTTACGTTCTGTTTTTGCTAGAATAGTATCAAATGATAAATCTGGATCTGCATCATAATATACTTCACTTGTACCATCATCAAACCATCTAACACTTACAGAACAACCATTTTCAGCTGTTATTATTTTACAATCATCTCTAGTTGGAGATGGAATATTATCAATTGTAATTGAATAGTTAAAAATCATTCCTTGACATTCATGACATTTATATGCTAAAAGATATCTTGTATGAACCAATAAGAATAATCCAAAATAATAATTGAATAACATCATTATTAGTGATAAATATACATCTAGAATGGTATGCGTTTGAAACAAATAATATTATCTATTTGTCATCTACTTGTCATCTTTAAACATCAATAAAAAGAATAGAAGATGTATTTTATTGACTCATGAGAACTAAAGAAATAATTTGAAGTTTTTCAGTCTATAGCATACATAGTGATGAGCGGGACCAATCATTCTTGGTCTCGATCCCGACCAGAAAATTTTCTAGTCCTCGCTTCACGCTTAGTAATACATTTAGTAGCAAAAAATGCGATATCATTTTCTACTAGTGTCAATGAGTTCAAGACATCCTGCATGACCTTTTATATTACTCTCTTAGTGATCCATTAGTTTTCTTAATTCACTAATACCTACGTCTATTCTGCTCATTTATATATTCAATAACTGTTGTTTACGAAAAAAAAAGGATTAATGAGTCGTGGAGATATGATATTGAATGCATGTCTTACATGATCAGAAAAGATATCACTCTCAATGAAAAAATGTTGATTCTGATCCCGGTCGTATCTTATCCGTATCTAAGTGGACATCTTAAATGAAGACGAACATCCTTCATGTAATCTACAAGCAAATTCTTAGAAATGTCTGATGAAGTCTATATCGATTTTAAGACTCTCCTCTAAATCGTTGTCGTCGTTGATCTTTATCAGAATAACTTTTTTTTTTTGATTTTATACCTTATTTCTCATGTAAATTCTCAACAAGCCAAAAATATCTGATATGTCTCATAATCTATATTAAGAACAATCAAAACAAGAGAGACGGTCTGTACTCTTTCCTAGGCATAAAATAACACAAATAACGCTTGATATCGTATCTCATATTGGAGAAAAGGAAATGCAAATAACAAGATAGAAGAAATACATGCAAGAGTAAAAAATAATCCAAAAATAGAAGGATAAAAGTATCATGGTCATTGAATACTTTTCTCCAAATTTACCATATTCATTTGAAATAGATTGTATTGTTTGTGATATGAAGATTATTTTAATTCAAAAACTCGTCATTTTATTATTTAGTATAGATTAATATGCCATTTTCTCACCCAAGCCCTCTATTATTTTCACTACTTATTTTAAGTCTGTATTTTTTTTATATACAAAATAAAAGAAAAAAATAAGACATTGTTGTCATCAATCAGAATTGTTCATTTTCTGGGTTTTCTGTACATTTGTGACTGTAATGGACGAATCAACTTTTATTTATTTTAGAGTGCAAATGGACTAAGATTTCTATTATTTCAGTCAAAAAAAGTCTAGAATTTTTGAGACTATCTCTCGTGACTATCTTATTGAAAATGATGAATGAACGTTGATTTAGCTATATTCTTGTTCTCTTCTATATCGGATAAATCCAAAATTTGTTGAATGTTTTATTATTTTCAAATGTAAATATCTAAGAAAATATGAAATGAACATATAAAGGGTGTTCTGAAACGTTTTTAAAATTCATCGTTCTCACATTCACCAAAAGTAAACTCTTTGAAACTTTCATAGATTATTGTACATATGTAGTACTACATAACTAGAAAGTTTGAGATCTGTAGCTTTGACTATGAATGAGAAACTGTAAAAACACTGTCATGTGCTATTTTGAAAAATTTCCAGCAGTGAAAATTTGAGATAAATGGATGTGTTCTGGGCGTTCTAAAATGATTTTAAAATTCATAATTCTCACGTCCAATAAAAGCAAGGTCTCTGAAACTTTCACAGATTAATGTAATGTACATATGTAGCTTTACCTAACTAGAAAGTTTGAGGTCTATGGCTTTTACTATGGATGAGAAGCTGTAACAATACTGCCACGTACTATTTTTTAAATTTTCTTCATCATCTTGATTATTATTTTAAAAACAATACAATTTTTAAAGATAAAAAATAAATAAAAAATTATCAATGTTCTTGTATTTGATTACCACCTTGATCAATAACTAATTTTAATCGTGCTGGTATTTTATCTATCATTCGTTGACATAAAGAAACACAAATTTTCTTCCATTCATTTTTAAT